TATTTCTTTTTGTGATTTTAGCAGCCATGGAAACCCATTAGCTAAATATATTAATTCATTAGGAGTAGCAAATGGTGTACTTTATTCAGTCATTCTTCTTCGTTAATTAACTAGAATATTTCAATAAGAGAAATGCCCTTCATTAACTGTTTTGATAAGCAGAAATAGTTCATACAGAACAAGCAAAATACATATAGTATTCTCAACTTCTTTACCAGTTTTAAAAGTAATTCTTTTCTAGGATTTTGCAGAAGCAAGCACAAGGTATTTAGTAAAATTTGGAAAGACTGAATTTAAGCATATTTTAAGTGTTTCAATCTTTTAGCCATTACCCTCATGTATGATCAACTATTTTTTTGCTAGTGCAAACCTATTAAAATGTATTCCCAGCTTCCTTTGTCCCTAGTAGACATTGTTATCTGCCCTATTTTTCAGATACTGGGGCTATAAAACACCACCAATGAATATGACTGATAAAATATAAAAATAAAAATACATGAAACCTGAATCTGATTGAGTCACTGGTTACATCTAATGATTGAAAGGAAATACAGTAAGTGAGGAAGCATGTTTAATGATATTTCATGATTAACTAATAAAACCTAGAATGTTGTATAAAACACTTCAGTTTTTCTCTTTTATCCTAAAAAAATTTAAATGTTGAAAAAGAGGATTTGTTGTTTTTAAAGGAAAATGCTTATTAAAATGATGATACTGTTAGAATGAGTTAAAAATGATAGAAAATAGACCCGATATGTGGAAAAAATGCTATTGGGCATGTAACATTTCATAACCATTTTAGAATCTATTTTGACAGAGAGTTTTAAAAATAAGTGTTCTGCATGTGATCCAATAATCATGCCCCTAATTATTTCCCCTGAAGTAATGAAAGCATAAGTCCACATAAAACTCTATACGTGTATCCATTTTCCTATGAAATAAAGGAAAAGAAAAAAATGAGAGAGTGAAAAAATGGAAATGAAGTGTTTGTAAATGGGAGGGGAGGAGGGGGTGAAGGGAGGGCAGGGACAAGAGGAAAAAAAACTATACATGAAAGTTTACAGTGGTTTTATGTACAATGGGTGATTGAAAAAATACACAGATGTTTAAATTTAAAGAAATTACAGTGAAAGATACATTGTCATTAATGTCTATTAAAAGATCACCTCTACTGTTTTGAACATACTTATCCTATCCTTCTTGACATTTTCCGGAAGTCCTTTTTCATGAGTATCTCTGGAGGAATGATAGAAGATATAGTAAATGCTACTGCCAAATGCCCTTCATTAGAGAGGCAGTCTCATGAAAACATTACCTTGTGTTCACATCCACCTTATTCATCAGATCTCGTACTGTGCAATATCTGGCTCTTCCCCAAAGTCAAAATGACCATGGAATGAAAGCATTTTAAATTGATTCAGTACATCCAAACAGCCATGATGGCATAACCATAACACTCACAATGATGAGATAAGTGTGCCAAAAATTAAGAAGAATACTTTTGAGGTCAATCAATGGCAATATGTCATTTACTATATTTTTAAAAATTTAAAACACATGTTAAGTGGCCCACATGTTAATGAGCTAGGGAATTCCACACAGTGAAATAAATTTTAGCAATAAAAAGTATGTGACTGTTGGTACTTATGAAGCAGTATAGATAGGTCTCAGATGTCTTATGCTAAATGAAAGAAACCAACCTCAAAAGCTTAACTAATATATGGTTTCTTCATTTGATATTTTTGAAAAGTCAAAGCTATAGGGGCAGATTAGTGGTTACCTAATGATGGGAGGGGGAAGAGTTCATTATAGAGGGTTACAAGAAATATTTGGAGGTATTGGAGATATTTTATACCTTGGTTGTATCCATGCCTACAAGGATGTAGGGGATTTGTCACAGTTCATAGAAATACGCCTTTAAAATAGCGAACATACTTTGGTCTAACTGAAAAATCTGATGGAAGAATTTAAAAAATCTGATGGAAGAATGCCAGCGCACTCTAATGTAGAGCAATATTTTAATTTTTTATTATCTGGGAAAGTGTATTAAAGAATATTAAAGATGGGTGGCATTGTTATTACTATTTATGTTAATGTGGTAGGATGTACTTCTAGCCAAAGTTTTTATTTTAGAAATACTAAAATGCTGAAAATTTTACAGATTAAATGATTTGACTACTGGAATTTGCTTCCAAATATCTGACAGTGGAAGAATTGATGTAGATAAAAAAATGAACATAAATTGGTAATTAATGCAACTTCATAATGAGTTTATGAGGGTTCTTTAAACTTTTCTCTTAAAATAAGTTTGAGAATTTCTACATAAAATTGAAAATTTATAGCTGATTTTTACCAATTTGAATATTATGCAGTGAGCAGAGTTTACCACAGAAATTTAATAATAGGTGCATGTTTTATAACATATCAGTAAAATGTATTATAGTGATTCAACTGAGTAGAACCACAGAATTATTGTGGTAGGCAGAAGAGCAAATGGTAAATAACAAACAGTGGAATTTTTTAAAAACTGCACTTAAGGAACCCTAACTCATTGGCAAGGTAAACTGCAGCCAAAGATGAGATATGTAAGAGTTGTTTCTCAGAGTGTATCCCATGGCTTACCATACCTTGGGCCTAAATTCTAATGGTGAAAAGTATAGAGCTGCTAAATTTTGAACATTACATATTTTTCTGCTGGAAATGCAACATAATGGTCTCAGCTGATCTCTCCTTTTCCATCACTATTTTTATCTCCCTACTTTTCTAGAATTGTTCCCTCTCCTATTTCACATTCCAGAGAATGAGAATTTAGGTATACCTCAGTTATAGAAGAAAGTCTTTAAAAATTAGGTCTATCTGTCTGTGGATCTCTCTGTCTGTCTATCAGTCATCACATCTCTTTGAAGACTGTATTGTCATGGCCTAACAGATTTAATCTAAAATTCTTCCAGATCTGCCCTTCAACCTTAGCTTAGCTTAGTTTAATTGCAAGCATATTTTATAATTGTCTATTTTAGCATTCAATACAATATGTTCTTGTTATTTGTTTAGCTGACTATGTTTCTGACAAGATGATGGTTACTCTGGGTTAATTAAAGACAAGGGTAGAGTTTTAGTTTTAGTTTTCATCTTTTAACAAATAGTATACTACCTCATATGCACAATAATGGCATCTATTCTTTTTTTTTTTGTCTTTTTTATTGAGGTTATTGGTACAATCTAGGCATACAAATACGGTTACATTCATCATTGAGATTCTGTACCTTTACATAATAGGTCTTGATTCTCATTTTTCCCCTTGTCCCTGCCCTCCCTTCACCCCCTCCTCCCCTCCCCATTTACAAACACTTTATTTCCATTTTTTCAGTTTCTCATATTTTTTTCCTCTCCCTTACTACCTTTCTCCCACCCTTCCCACTTTCCTTACACCTTTAGCCCTTTACTTCCTATTTCACATTATTAATTGTCTCATTAGGATCCTGTGTACTATTATAGTTTTTCACACCAAAGAAACTATTCGGTATTTCAGTTAAGATTGCAGTCAATGACCAGGAAAAGAGAGGTCTCTTAAAAACAGTAAGAGATCAGGAGAAATCAATCCAACAACTCCTAGATGATGCAAAGAAGAATAACATAAGACTGATAGGAATACATGAAGTAGCAGGAGAACATACAAATGACTTAAAAAAGCTGTTTGCAGAATTAATGACAGAAAATTTCCCAAACAGAGGGGAAGAATTTGACATTCAGATAACTGAGGCATATAGGGCCCCAACTAGCTACAGTCAAAAAAAATCTACACCTAGACATATAATAATCAAGATCCCAGAAACCCAACAGAAGAACAAAATATTACAAACAGTAAGAGAAAAGAAACAAATCACATACAAAGGAAAGCCCATCAGAATCACAGCAGACTTTTCAACACAAACCCTTGGGAAAAGGAGAGCCTGGAATGAGATATTTCAAGTACTAAAAGAGAACAACCTCCAACCTAGACTGATGTATCCAGCAAAACTCTCTTTCAAAATGGAGGGTGAAATAAGACACTTCCACGACAAAGAACACCTGAGAAACTACATGAATACCAAACCAGCACTACAAGCAATTCTAAACAAGATCCTAGAAAAAGACAATGAAGGCAACAACGCCATGAGGCCCAACAGAGCAAATCAAATAGGCAAGGCAAGAAATTAAAAGGAGAAGGTGAAAAAGTAAAAAGAGTCAACAAAAGGCCAATAACATGTTAATAATAAGTCAGTACATATCAGTTATAACCGGCAATGTCAGTGGCCTCAACTCACCAATCAAGAGAAATAGACTGGCAAAATGGAATAAGAGGCATCTATTCTTAATCAGTATTTTTTTTCAAAATGAGTTATATTCATACTTTGCTGTTTATTCATGGACATTTAAAAAAAGAGTCAACAAAAGGCCAATAACATGTTAATAATAAGTCAGTACATATCAGTTATAACCGGCAATGTCAGTGGCCTCAACTCACCAATCAAGAGAAATAGACTGGCAAAATGGAATAAGAGGCATCTATTCTTAATCAGTATTTTTTTTCAAAATGAGTTATATTCATACTTTGCTGTTTATTCATGGACATTTAATAATATAAAAATATTTAATGTGACTTTTTTGTTAATGTGGTATGAAAAGACTATATTAAAACAGGAAAATAAGCAAAGTTGTATATTTTCTAAGTTTTAAATCCATATCAATAGTTTTTAAAATCTGATAAATATGAATAAATCCTATTATTCAGTTATTTTATTACTAAGCCTAAATGCACTTAAAATTAACTTATCACCGTGTATTTTATCATGACAATATTGTCACTAGATGCTTATATTTAATATATATGAAAAAATTTTAATATAACTTATTAAAGCTCAGGTGATAAATAATAGTGAGGATAATTGATGTTCATTATTTAAATAACTAATATATTTTCAATTGAGAAATTCATGCAAGTTTTGTCTGTTTACTTCCAGTTGTGTTGCTTGATACAACTACTGTGCTGGGAGAGCTGGGATGGAAAACATATCCATTAAATGGGGTAAGTTTAAATGTGTTTAAATTCTCATTCTGGTTAGGGTTTTAGGGACTTAAAATACATGAAAAATCGATTTTTGTTACTGTTTAATACCAGTTTGGGCATATAATTTAAAGTATCCTGAAAAAGATTAAAATATAATTAAGGGCCTAATCTATGGGAATTATATGTAAACATCCCACTTTCTTCTAAATAGTAACTGTTGTGTTTCATACATAGTAATGGTAGAATTCCTCCTATACAAATTTTCCTCAGAAATACATTACTATTTTTAATATCAAGGCACTTTTCTGTATAAATATGGTAGCCTTATGTGAATTAGTGCAAAAATAAAATTGAGTTTCATACATAAATTGAATAAATATTAACGATTTGATTTTTAATGTAATGTGACCCTATTAAAATGATATTATTTTAATTTTCCAGAAAGATAATTTGTTATTAGGTTTTTGTTAACTGGAAATAGTTGCTTTTAAAGGCTAATAGGGATGTATAATTTTCATAATACACTTTTCCAAGTAATGACATATCACCTGTGGTTGTACTTGAATTTTTATGTATTTTATCTTTTTGGCATTGTTTTTATATTCTACTCCTTTTTATATCACCCTAAAATGAAAGGGTTGTTTGTGAAGATTTTTACCTAGATTTTTTTCTATTTAAACAGTATTCAACAATAAAGACAGATCTTTTATGCTGTACCTGGTTTGACATTTGTTCTTAGAAATTTTATATTACTATATTTTTGTACATATTTACTATGCTTCTTGTATTACAACTTCAAATTTAAATCTGTAGATTAGAATCAGATATTGTTTCTGTTGTTTTTTAAAATCATCTTATATTTCTGTTTGAATTTAATAGTTTATTATTGAATTTAGTATTACATCAAAAGCTATTCATTAAATGTGTATTTTAATTGAAAGTGTTATGAAAAAACACATCTTCTTTATCCAGTCTCCAATTGATGGGCAATTGTGCTGTTTCCAAGTTTTAGCTATTACAAACTGTGCTGCTACAAGGATGAGCATATATCACTGTGGTATAATTCTTATGGAAAGATACCCAGGAACCTCTAGTCCCAACTGTTTGAGGCATCTCTATATTGATTTCCACAGTGGCTGCACCAGTCTGTACTCCCACCAACAATAGAAAAGCGTTCCTTTCCCCCCATAACCCTGCCAGCATTTGTTATTGGTTGATATCTTGATAGCAGTCATTCTTTCTGGGGTGAGATGGAATTCCATTGTTGTTTTCATCTGCATCTATGGAATGACCAGTGATGTTGAATATTTTTTCATATTTTTTTTACTTCTTTGTCTGAGAAATGTCTATTCATTTCAGATACCCATTTTTAAATTGGGTCTTTATATTGGGGGGGGGTCTGATTTTTTTGCGTTCTCTATATATTCTAGATAATAGTCCTTTGTCTGAGGAACAACTGGTAAAAATCTTTTCCTACATTTAGGTTGTCTCAGTTCTGTTGGTGGTTTCTTTTGCAGTGCAGAAGCTTTTTAATAAGCATGAGAAACTAGAATCATTCATAGGAAATGGATGCATATTGAGGCCATACTCTTAAGTGAAATAAATAAGACACACACCTGTAAATACAAAATAGTTTCTCTGGTGTGAAAAAGTGTAAATAAGATCCAAATGGTATAACTGACAATGTGAAATAGGAAGAAAAGGGCTAAAGGTGTAGGGAAAGTGGGAAGAGTAGGAAAAGGAAATAAGGGAAAAGAAAAGATATGAGAAAGGGAAAAAAATGGAAAAAAGTCTTTGTAAATAGGGGAGTGTGGAACGGGTGAAGGGCGGGTGGGAGTATGGGGAAAAAATGAGAAACAAGATCTATCATGTAAAAGTAAGAAGATCCCAATGAAAAATGTAATGGTATGGTATACTTTAAAAGTACCAATAAACTCTATGGGAAAAAAAATCTAATGAAGAGTTGAATCTTCCTCTCAACACCTTATTTGCTTTAGATTTATTTTATATTCTGTAATTTTATTATTTTTAATTTTCACTTTTAATGGAGCTCTCATTAAACTATCTCTGAGAAATAACCCTTTAAAGTAAAATTGTGACTTCATCTTTACCTTCTTATTGCTATGAAAATAAACATCAGTATTGAGTACATTGAGTCATGTTTATCATTAATAAGGGAATATTTAAAGTAGTATACTCTTTCAATATCTGTATGTCCATAAATACTTATGTATATACTTAGTAAACAAAACAATTTATAAGCACTTAACCAATAGGTAGTTTGGTGGTTAGTAGACTCTTCTTTTTATTTTCTGAAAAGAGAGAGAGAGAGAGAGAGAGAGAGAGAGAAACTGTTCCCACTGGCCTCATGTAGTCATTGCTAGAAATCATATTGTGGAAAAAAATATTATGCCCTGCTCTTCTGATTATGTTCAGCTTTATCTATATGTATATCCAGGAAATGCAGAGACTTACAGTCACAGATGAAACTGCAGCTATCATTCTTGTTTTTATTTTGTTCTAAATGTTATAAAATGGAAAATTGTCAATTACTTTTGATGCGTTATGGAAAGAGAGGACAGAATTGCTTTAAAAAGTATCACTTACCCCATGCTTTTCTATTTGACAAATATTGTCCCTAATCATGTCTCATTTTAGTTTTGCAATGGTCCTTTGAAGTGTGTCTTAACTCTGATTCTCAGGTGGAAAATGTAAATAATCAAAAGAATGAAGAACATACAATATCAGCTGGTATTTGGTATGGACTCATGTTAACTGAGATAATTCTGACTCTAAGATGTGTTGAAGCACTATTTACTTATGTATTATATATGACTAATTCAGTTTTTTCCCCTTGATAAATATATGGGTACTCTAAAATACACATTTTAGGCAATGCACATGAAGGTTATCAAGACAAAAAGGAGGGAAACTAGAAGACTATTTATTAGAAAATAAATGACGGTAGATGCAGCCCATTTTCCTCATCAGTTGGAGACTGTATAAAGAAGATATAGTTTTTCTATAAAATGGAATACTGCTCAGCCATAAAAAATGATAAATTAGAGTTATTCATAGGAAAATGGATACATATTGAGGACATACTCTTAAGTGCAATAAATAGTCACACGTGTATAAATACTGAATAATTTCTCTGGTTTAAGAAACTATAATGGTACATAAAATCCTAATGGTATAATTGACAATATGAAATAGGAAGAAAAGGACTAAAAGTGTAGGGAAAGTGAGAAAGGTAGGGGAAAGGAAATAAGGGAAAAGAAGAAAAAACATGAAAAAATGGAAATATAGTATTTGTAAATAGGGAAGGGAGGAGGGGATGAAGGGAGGGCAGGGGTAAGGGGAAAAAATGAGAACCAATACCTGTCATGTAAAGGTACAAGATCCCAATGATGATTGTAACTGTACTGATAACCTAAAATGTACCAATAAACTCAATGAGGGAAAAAATTTTTAAAAAAGAAAATAAATGACAGAAAAATGAAAAACATGGTAAAATCTTATTATTTATCATATACTAGACTTTGCTTCAAACATTTTACTCGTATTAGTCCTGTACATCAAGTATAACTTATCTTCCTTTATAGATGTAAAAAGTTAGATATGTTAGATAATTTTCACAAAGTTACTGAGCTAGGAAGTAGCCAATTATGCCCTAATCGCGAACACTTATCGATCAGCAAGTTGCTTTTTAATTTTTTCCAAGATTCTGCTCTTTAAGAATAAAAGCTTGATGACCTATGGAATTAGATTATGGTGGGAAGCTAACATGGATTCAGACATTTAAAAGATTAAATATATAAGTAAATTGAAATATTGCTGATAGCTTGCTCTATATAACTTTTAGGTTATTCCCAAATAACATGGATGAAATTGTTAATAGTAGGAATATTTAAAAATAGAAATACATAGACTTACTTTATAATACATGTGGATGAAGCTACATAACCTTACCCTATGCTTAAATAAAAGGGAATTGAAAAAAAACAGTATTTATATTATTTCTTGGAATGAAGAGGATTTACTATTTGCAAAAACGGAATTTTACTTAATGCTATTTATAGGCTAAAACAAGTAAGGAATTAATCACTAATGAGAAAGAACTTTGAAAAGATACTACTGAAATTCAAAAATGAAAATAATCTAGACATCAGTATAGGTTAAATAACTTGATACAAAAATGTAAAATGTAGCATTTTTACATCCACTAAGTATAAGCATAAGCTATGTCTTTTCTGTTTTCTATGAATAGCTAGCTAATCCTAAATCTTTTTTGGAAAACTGAAGGACTAGTTTCAGTTTTATAAAACTCTTGGAAATGAGAACAATTTTGATACTAATGAAAACACACAAACACACACACACACTTTTCATAGAGTTGCATTGTATAGAATAAGAAATTGAAGAAAATATATACTAAAATGATTCTTATATTCTGAAAATAAATGTAGAATTATACAAATGTTTTAGAAATGTTAACTCCCACATTTATTCTTTGGCATTTGATGTTTTGTACTTATTTAATTTAGTTTCAGCCATTGTAGAGCACTGTAGATGCAAGGGTCAAATACAGTTGTTGTAACAGGACCTGTAGTTAAATATAATATTTAAAATTCTTAATAGCTATTACAGATTGGGCCCCATTTTATGTCCTACAACAGTGAGTATATCACATTGAAGTATCATGGCTTAAGATTAACTCTGAGTAGTAATAAACAATTTCTCTGAACCAGAAAAGTAAAAGGCTTTTTATAATTTAGAAAGAAATTTTGTAATTAAAACCCTGCTTCATTTTATTTGAGCTTCAGTAATTAAGTTTGATAACTTCTTAAAATTTAATAGCTATATGGTTTTTAAAATTTTTTATACCATAATTAAGAAGATAAGCAGCTTTTTTGAATAGCTACAGTGTTTATTAGGGGTTATGATACTTGAATAAAACCTGATAATTGCTATATATCATTTCATAATACTTTTATTAGATACTGTTTAATTTATAC